GATAAGGCAGTTTTCCTTCTCTGGTGGTGTCAGATAGCAGAAAGTTAGGAAGGTATAGAAATCTTTCTTTCTTGTTTAGCAATGAAGTTTATAATTCCAAAAAACAGCTAAAATTTGGTATCTTCCATGTTTTATAAGGCACTTAATACCATTGCCTCAATTTTGGCCATAGCCATTTGGATTAAACAGCATGGCAGATTGGTGGGGGGAAAAAAATCAATAATCACAAAAAGGTTACCAATTTTCACTACTGTAACAGAAATAACAGGTAAACAATAACTTTAGTGAGTGTATTTTCTTAACATGATGCATTGCCTCTTGTGAATTGTTACTGTAGAGCTAATGCTCCTATTCTTTCCTGCCAGGGTTGTCAAACATGTAGCCCACAGGCTGGACTTGGCCTGCTGTGCTGTTCTGTCTGGCTCATTGGGCTACCTGAAGTTGCCTGTGTCAGAATTTGGGACCCCTGGGCTCTGCTGAACATAGCTTTCTGGCAGCAGGGGTGCAAGCGAGGACTGTGTGACACAGCCCTGCTTGTTCTGCAGGCCCTTGCTGTGACTGCCGGACCCACCACTGCTGGACCCACTGCCATTGCAGCTGCTGTTCTTGTAGATCCAGCTCAAGAGAAGCCCGACTGTCTGGATTCAGCCCAAGGCCTGATGTGAATTTGACGCCTTTGCTATAGGGTAACTGTCTTTGGCTAAGCTATAGCTCTCGCAAATGAATGTATTCTTTCCTCTGACTGATTGGCAGGGTATATTATGTAAGAATCGCGTAACTGTGTGTCCATTGTGGGAAAAGCAGGTCATGTATTTAAATATATGAAATAAGGAATCCACTGATTTCAATGTGTTTTTTTAACCATTTGTAAGATTTCATATTTTTCCCCAATTTTATGTTCTATATTCTCTGTGGCTGTTGACAAGCCTTATATTTACAAGTATGTGGAGTATTTGAGCTGCTACACAAGAAAATAAATTTCCATAAGGAAATGCCTGAAGTCAGTTACACATCAGTTATTTAAAAATATTTAACCATAACCTTCACTAAAGGGCTACAGATTCATATACTATAGAATCATTGCATTCTAGACTAATTTGTTTTTTAGTCTCTGTATTCATTACTTTATTATTGTTTCTTGTACATCCAAAAGTGTATTAATTGTCTCATTAGAGAAAGATATGGTCACTGCCCCTAAGAACATATAAAGTAACATGACAAAACAAAACAGGACCATAAACAAAAGGGAGGGAGGCAGGGGCAGGCATGAAGGAAGAGAAGTATACAGATCCCCATCTAAATCTTATACAGTTTCTAAGTAAGGAGTATGTATATATTTTTTCATTTTACCCTTAATTTTTATTGTTTTCATTCCCTTTTGTAGGTTTCAAGGTTAAAGTGAGTTTTTAAGAAGGATTTGAATGGCACACAGAGCTGGACAAAATGTTTGAACCAACTTGAAAATAAGATGTTGGTAAGAAGACTTGTAGAATTCTCCACAGAATCCCTCTAGTCCAGTTTATTTGTTTACATCTGGGAAAGCAGCATCCTCTTTCCTCAGAAATCCTGTATTTAACCACTTTGTGGATATCTCTGAAAAAGATTTACCCCTCTCTCCAACCCAAGTATTCTCACCTACTTTCCCACAGTTGGAAGGATATCACTCATTTCTAAAACTTTAACTGTACCTAACAATCTCTTAAAACATCTTGTTTAACAAAATGTATTAATTGAATCAAGAAAGGTTTGGAATCTCTGGTTAAGGTATTTCTTTTTCTCAGAACATATACTCCTTTGTTAAATCCCAGTAGCTGAGCACCTCCCATTTTTTCTTTTCAGATTGAAGTATAAAGCTGAAGAATGCTTTGTTCCCTCTTCCTTCCAAAGGAAGTTAACTCAAAATACCATTCATAATAGACAATAATGACTGGCAATGAAATTGACAGTATGTAAAAAAATTGTGCCTCGTCCCATTTGTTACCACAAAAGGGAAGTTATACAAGAGTGGGGAAGAAAAAAGGAGCATCTATCAGCTCTTAAACTAAGATTTTATTCATGCAATTGTACAGCTATAACTATGTATGGATAGCAATGCTCATACAATAGCCCAGGTTACCAACCCTTTACTGGGGAATCCAGCAGGTTTTTGGTTTCCTGTTTCTCATGGTGGTGTTTTTTTTCCCAAGCCATAACTCAAGGCCCTTCTTCTATATCCAAGCAGCTAACTGACTATACAAAGCAGCTAGCTGTATAAATAATCTACTTAGTTATGTAAAACATCTAGTCTAGCACACACTTTTGTTTAAAGGACTGTTGGCACCTGATCCAACTAGCTGGAACTGGGACAGGAAACATCACCCATTTTGAGAGCTGAGGGTCTATTCAGATTAAAAGAGCTCTTCCATAGGTATGCAAAAATAGCTAAGGGTAGGGTCATCAGTCTCTTAGTCATGTAGAATGGCTAAGGGTTGGCCTATCATTCTTTCAGTTGTACAGGGACAGCTAGAGGTGGCCCCTCTGCCCAGGCTGGACCTTACACTATGCCTCACTCCTACCAAATAAAATTCTGTACAGGTTTACTGAAATCCACTTAAGCTGTACTATGCATATCTACATGATGAGAGGTTCAGTAAGACTTTGATACCACTTTCATATGTACCTTTAAATGAAAATTTACTGAAACCTGGACAGCTGTTTTCTCTTCTACTTTTTAGGCTCTGAAATTCTTTATTACCACTACTGATCATCTCTGTATACATAGACTGAAAACCAAAGATTTTATTTTGTGTTACCTCAGGAAATCCATATTTACAAGCCTTTGTAAAAACAATCATACCAATCCTGAAGTCTGTCTTCACCTTGGCTGCTTAAATTACAGTGTGGAAGCAAGAACGTGCTTGCCTATGCCAATGATGGGGTGCTCACTCTTTCCAGCAAGGGTAATACAGATATATTATTTGAATTATGCCTGCCCATTTAAAATATTATTTAACTTTATTTCTATAATTAACCCAGATGCAGAGACCTAATTGGCATATCCACTTTCCTCTCCTGTGCAATTTTATTTACTCCTTTTCTTCTTTTTTCTCTGCCTTGAAAATCTGCATTAACTGAACCACTGATACTTTTAATAAAAATCACCATGATTTCACAGTATTTGTTTATTTTGCTAACATCTATCCAGTTCTTGAATGTTACCAATTATGTCAAATTGGGGTACCTGGGATTGATAGGGTATTTCCAAAATCATGAACTACATTTCCAAAATCATGGACTACAAACAAATGAGCATCAGCCCCTTGTAGAGAGAAAGGAGTTAAGGAGAAAATACTAAGCAGAAGAATAAAGTAACAACTTTGTTTTAAGGACAAGCTCTAGGAAATATCAGGGACAATTTGAAGGAGGGGAACCCTTTCCAAAGGTCATACATGCACATTCTCCAGCCATAGTGTCACGTATCTGTTCCCCCATACCTACATATGCAGGTTAATGCTGTCTGAGCCAGTTAGCACAGTCACCAGTGGCTGGTGGCAGAGGCACTTGAACAAGTTACCATGAAGTCAAGGGCAGGGCTTTATAGCTTGTCATTGTTCTGAGATAACTGCCTGTGTACACATTCTTATTCCACAGTAAATGAAAGCTACCTCCCAGTACTTAGCCCTCAGTGAAAGAATGGTAAATATAACAGGTCAATTTTAATTTATCATGGGGGAAGAGCATACACAGAACTGGTCCTAGACTTAGGTTGTAAATAGACATTGCATTTGTCTTGGGAGAAAGCCTTTTGTCCCAGGATCCAGCAGACATAAAAGTCCACTGTCCTGTGTCATGTCACTCTGAAATATGCAAGATAATATGTGCTGAGGCCTTTTCCTGGGACATGGCTCTGTGTGCCTGTAGATTGTTCCTGCAGCTGTTCAGCCCAGTTGGTTAGAGCATAACACCAAGGCCATGGGTTTGATCCCTGGTTGGACTAGAGATCTTTTGAGGTCTCTTCTCCAGCCTTACTTCTCTATGACAAACAAGCCAGCCAGGCTGTGTGTTCTTATTGGCCACTGTGACAGGGAACCCTAACCCTGTCATGAGGAAGCCGGCACGCCCCTTTAAGGCCAGAACCTTCTGGGCATGGAGGGCTGGTAAGGAAGGGGTTAACTGCTGAACCTGGATGGCTAGTTAGCAGACCGGAAGAGGCAGGACTATAAAAACCCTGAGTTGAATGACAGTGAGTGTTCAGTAGCCAAAGGGGAAGCAGTGCCTCCCAGAGCTCCAGGAAGAAATTTGGGAAGTGGTCCATGGCAGGAAGGGGGAAGCTACAGAAGCCCCTGAGAGAAGGCAGCTGCATCCACAACCAGGACTGTAGCTGGCGGTGTGGAGCTGAGACTCAAAGCAAGTTCATGTAAGTTGACCCGCTGTGTTGACTGAGAACGTACAGTTATTATGATTATTATTTTTTGATTATTGAATAACACTGGAGGCTACTAGGGGACGGAGGAGGCCTCATTTTCAGGGACCCACCCTGGAGTGGGAACCCCGGCACCAGTGAGGGCACAGCTTTTTGGGGGGGACACAACCCCCCTGCGCCAGTGAGGGCGCAGCGAGGCACAGAGACAGGGATGCAGACAGCCCGAGTGCCAGTAAGGGCGCAGTTTGGGATGACACGAACACCAGCACTCAAAGGATGATCTTTAAAAGGCCAGGGAGGCCTGGGGCACAAGTATATTTTTGTTTTGACTGGCAGGGTGTGGGTCCAGGGTTGCATCCTGGTTTTGAACTTGTGGCCCCCTGGCTGTAGGGCCAGCACCTGTGCCTCTGGGCCAGGGAGTGTGGTGCTCCAGAAGGGAGGAGAAAAGGGGGGCCACGAGCCTCCAGACACTGGAAGGAAAAGCTGGAGCGTTGGAGTCAAACCCTGTTTGGTGGGTTTGGATGGGTAGGCCTAGCTAGAGAAAAAAGGGGTCTGGCCATCCTAGGAGAGACCCCAACATACTAGGCAGTCTCCTACTAGCATAATAATTTACATCAAGACGTGGCAGGTGAGATTAGGGCGGGACAGAAGAATTCCAAGGAAGACTCCAAGGGCGCCCCACATAAGGCACGGATAATCAAGAAGATGGTGCTGGGGAGGGCAACCTGTTGTAGCCACATACTGGTGGAGGAGCAGCAGTGTAGATGGGAAGGATGTATATTTCTGGTCCCTGTGACCGCTGGGTTGGCCTATACTTCGTTGTTGTGTCTGAAGGTCTTTCTGGGTCAGCACCTTAATTGCAGCTCCCAATTGTGCTGCTGTTCCACCGCAACCCCCAAATGAAATTGCCTGCCCCAATCATGGTAGCAGCCTTCCCAGCTCTGTTCATATCAATTAAGTGGCCAAGAGACCTACATCTACTTCCTTCTGTTCTAATGTGCTACTTCCTCTTCAGCTGCAATCAGGTGAGTGGCCATCATTTACAGTCTTTTCATCTGTGTATTTTCTTCAAGCATCTGAGTCAAGAAAAAATGTTTTCCATTAAAATTATTAGGTTTTAATTAATCTTTTCTCTGTTTTTTATGTTTGAATTTAAATTGTAAAACTGTTTAAAATTTCCTGTTTTCTTAGATGCAACTGGAAGTAATTATTTTCTGATTTTGATTTCAATGTAGAATAAACTTGCTCTCAATCAGCCATTACCAAACAACAACCAAAATGATTTCTCTTCCATTAGAAAGCATGTCTTTAATTAAGATATTACTTACAAGCACTAAAAAAAAAAAAAAGATCCTAACCACTCCATATATCAACCTGTTGGTATTCAAACAGTTGCTGACAATCAATGCACTAGAATCCGTATCTTTTAAAAGTTTTGTCAGCAATCCCTCAATTTGAGGATGATCTCTAGCATGGCTTATTGATGGGTCTTGAGGTAACTTAAAAATCCAATCCTTGAGCCACAGATCTGTTCACTTGAGAAATTGCAAATCCTTCCACAAGGGATTCCTCACCTTTTCCTTCCTTCTTTGCCTCTTCTCTGCTTCAAGGCAAGACACTTTACCTCAAAATAGGCTGTTGCTTGGCTGATGCTGCAATGCTATTAAGGGTTGGTTAGCAACCAACTCTTCCCAGCTCTTGATGTAGGCATCCGTTTTCTTCAGTGTATCCTGAAAGTTTATAAGGTATAGAAGTTAAACTTTACAAGGTATAACAATGGACTGATGGGTATAATTTTACTAAATACATGAGTACTCAACAATCCTCAACTTCATGATATTTTTTTCTTTAACATTGCAAAGGACATGCCTTATGGATTTTTTTTTTTATACACAATAAAATTAAATTCTCTCCTAATGTCATCATAATGAATAATCCAAGTTGAACCTTATACCCTACAATATGGTTATCAAGCAATTTAGAGTCAATACTGTTACTAATCTAAATATGAGGGTCATAAACCATGCACATTTGTAGATGTATTTTTTCTTGGAAAAAAAAATTCAAATGCATAAGAATCCACAGGATGATTGACCAAGTCATAAAAAATAGCAGAATACTTCTTTAACAGCCAAAGCACTTTTGCATTACTCAGATGTTTATTGCCAGTTACTCCATGTGTATATACTACACCAGGGGTTTTCAACCTTTTTTAATCAGTGTGCACCTGGCAGCCAGATGCAGAATGGTGGGGAGGGGGAGTGGGGGAAGGCGGTGGCAATACGGGGTGATGGGTGGCCATGTGCAAGCTTCCTGCCCCCTTTTTGCCTGGCTCTGCTCCTGGGAGGTGGTGGTGGGTGGCGGCACTTTGTCTCTGCCTGCCCTCCCACCTGTGTGTACCCCCTAGGGCCTTCCCCAGAAACCCTGGGGGTACGTGTAGCCCCACTGACAACCCCTGTACTACACAACTGCTGGGTTGTACATTTCATAAACTGAATTTCATAAATGTTAACTAGCATTATTTTGCATTTGGGGGGCAGTGTTTTTTTGTTTAGTTTTGTTTTGGGTTTTTTCATAGTTTCATAATTTCTAGGGTCGGAAGGGACCTG